TGCCAAGAAAGCCAAAGCCGCTGGACAAGAACCTCCTCCCGAACGAGTTCCCAAACTCAGTGCCCTACTGGCCATGGGAGGACCCGAGGCGGAAGAATACAAGAAAAAACAGGCCGCTGCCAAATTGGCCACGTGGAAAACCAATCTAGGAGACAAGTGGGAAATCGTCCAAACCACATGGGATGGCATGTCCAGTTTTGAAGACAAAAAGGAAACCACCAATAGTACGTACACCACACAACAAGAAGCCATTCAGGAATTCAAACACAATCCAGAAAAATACCTCGCCATGCATTTTCATCCAGTCCAACCCGATCCCAAAGATTACACCTTTATTCTACGGGATGGAACTGTGGGGTATGAACCCATGGGAATCAAAGAAGATGGTACTGGAAAACGCATTCTATGGCGACACATTTATCATCGTCTTCCAGCGTTTACCGACAATCTCTTTCCCGTACGATCCTGTGACAAGTATACAGACAACATGACCTACGGTGGCAAGAAATTGCATTCTACAAAGGCCAAACGAACGCCACTCTTGCCCGGTCGTGGCATGGGATTGGGTGATGAAGCCAACATGGAAATGATTGGTCCGCAAGGTGCCTATCCCGATCATGTCCGTCAAGGAGCCATTGTGGGAGACTGTTGGTTGCTCTCGGCCATTGCCTGTCTCGCCGATTTTGATTGGGCCGTACAACGACTCTTTCGCAAAACTCCAACACAACCCATTAGTCAAAAACCAGTCGATGAACCCAATCTGTACACGGTCACATTGTGGGATTTGAAAACATGGAAGGAAGTCGATATTGTCATTGACGAACGATTGCCTGTCAGAGCGGATGGAACGGGATACTTGTTAGGAGCCAAACCTTCCAAGGATGCCAAATTCTGGGTGCCGTACCTAGAAAAGGCCATTGCGGTGAGATCGTACTGTATAGATAGAGACTGGTGGAGTCGAGTCGAGTCCATCGTTGCTCTCACAACATGTGGCTTGTGTATTATTTTTGTTTGTGTGTGTGTGGTGCTCACTCATGCTATTCCGATTCGCTTTGATTCAATTCGATTCTTGATTCGATTCAGGTACATTGTGGTGGCTACGAGAAGCTGGACGGTGCGTGATCGAAAATCAAAGGATCCATGTTCACATGTTTTGCTTTTGCTGCATGTACTCACTCATTTATTTACTGTCTATCCCGGCAACTAACTGTACTTACTTGACTTACTTGCAGGCGGCAACTGCACCGATGCCTGGCCCATGTTGACTGGTTCTCGCAACCAGTTCCTCATTCAAAAGGTTCCAGCCACGGGAAAGTACTATTGTGGCGCCAGGTACAATCCAGACGAAGGAAAGTGGTCACCGCACAGTAATTCCCCACATGACTCTTCGCCCATGTTATGGAAAGTCGACTGGCCCAAAGTGGGTGGTGGTGGCGATCAAGACTTGACAACCGATGAATTGTTTGAACGAATCATTACATGGGACGAACACAATTTCTTGATTGGGGCGGCCACTGCCGGGAACACGGACAAGGAAGCCACCGATGGGATTGTGGACAATCATGCCTACAGTATCATTGACAGTCGAAAAGATATTTGTGGGACCGGCATTGATCTGCTCTTGATCCGAAATCCATGGGGCGAAGGTGGTGAACTCGAGAATGGTGCGTGCGTGCGTTCGTGCGAGGCAACGATTCGGGGTCGAGTCGATGCGATTCAAAAAGAGACGTTCGACAGAGTTTTGCTGTTGCTGCTCAGTGGTCCTGATAACAGTGCACTCACTCCATTTTCCTGTTTGCTTCGTTTGGGCTGTCGGCTCTTTCGCGCCATTGTCATTGCTTCTTTGCACATTGCAGGGCAATTCATGAGATCAGGTCCTGGATGGGACAAGTACCCTGACATCAAAAAAGAGCTCAATCCAACTACAGAAGACAATGGGCTCTGTTGGGTGACCAAAAAGGAGTTCTTTCGATACTTTCCCACTGTCTACGTTTGTGCCCTCAACATGACAAGACTCAAAGATGAAGACTACGTCAATGACCTCAAGGATGACTTTGTCCGAAAGCCCAAGGCCGCTCCCAAACCAGCTCCCAAGCCCAAGAAAAAGGTAGTCCAAAAAACCCAAGAAGAAGAGTTTCCGCCCCATATTATCAACACGGCGTCTGATCCCAAATCTCCCTACAAGATTGTAGTGACGAACTTTAATGGTGGCTATGCCTTTATGGATGTCAACAAAAAGCAGGTCATGGGAACATCCATCCAAAAGGGTGTAGATGAGATGCGTGCCAACCCAGACAAGTATGTGGCACTGGTGTACCAGAACAACATGGCAGATGAAGGGTGGCCAGTAGAGAGGCACCAGTATACCTTGTTCTTGAGGGATGGGACCGAAGGGTTGGAAGTAGATCCAGACAAGGCTGGTAAGAAGACCATGTTGACGAACGTGCTTCGGTGAATTGACGAACGTGCTTCGGTGAAAATGGCTTGAAAACTAGAGAAATTGAATGGAAACAAGGAACAAAAATGAGTGGAGCTGTAATGGTGGATGGAGTTGCCATCTTCAGCAATTGAATATGTTTTAGTGGCTGCGTTCTGTTTTAAATCTTCATGTTGCTTGGGATTGTCTCGCTGTCCGTCGATGTATGCATAGTCCTGGCAAGATAGAACAGTGACGAAGAGAAGCATCGCAAACGGTTCGCGAACGGTCACGGTGTAGTTCTCATCCCGTGGCTGTTGCGGTACTGAGTGAGCCTAGGTAGCTTGAACTGGGGGTCCTGAAATCTGGCTGGTATGCTGCTTGATCCTGGTTGCACGAGGGATGACAGAACGCAGCAAAAGAAAGCCAAGCGTCAATGAGTGCCAAGACGATTGAAATGCTTGCATGACAAAGTACGGAAGCTTCTTGGCAGTAACCTGAACGTTGGTCTGTTGGCACCGTTCGTGAGTCGCAAGAACGATGTGCACACTGCCCGCAAGTCTTGTGCCTGACTAGGCCCAAGAGACGCAGAAGAACTCCGGAACCATGACTGCGGCAGGAGGTCAAGAGAGAGAAGAATTGCGACACTTCTATCACTTAGCTCCTCTGCCTGTGAACAGGAGCACGACACCACAATCAGCCTGGGACAAGGGTGCAGAACGAAGCAACCAAGCGACAGACCAAGCATGAAACCGCAAATGGAACCGAAGGACGAAGCACCCCAAGCAGCGCTAGAGCCTTCGAGAACGTCTTCATCCAGTCGATGAACCAACCCACATCGCGGGAGACTCCACGATGCCGGGCGTTCAACATGTCGTCGGGGTCTCCATCCGTTTCCCGGTCTTGGAGCACGTCTTGACTGCGGACAATCGACAGAGAAAGACCAAAGGTTGCCTCTCTTGACCACGGAAAGCGAAGGACGAAACGGCATCATCATCGGGCCAGACAGCAAATCGACTACCGAAGCATTCCTTGCATGAGGAGGAACAAAAGGAAGAGAGCACTAGCTAGAGTTCCCAACAGAAGCAGCGAGCTTCCGGAGATAATCTACCTACTCGGAACCCCCGTTGAAGGCCCAAGAGGACAGCACGGGCGAAACAAGACTTACCCAAGCAACGGCAGTCGAGGACGAACCGACCCAACCGATGACGTGTTACTATCTAGCACAGAGCTACGCGATCCTGTGCAGGACACCAAATACTTGGCGAAGCCTCACTGGAAGCGTACACAACCGACAAACCGACACCCCACAGTGCGTTCTATCACCTTACAGCGAGCGAAAAGAGGCTGAGAAGCAACGGACACGAGTGTCACGAGGCACCGACACAGGACAGGATGAGGGCTCACTTGTTCTCTAATTGAAACAGCAGAATGGAAAACAAATGGTTAGACGTTTAAGCTGAGAGCAACAAGCAAATCAAAAGGTACATACATGTATGCCACGTTTGTTCAGCGGAGACACAGAGGGCAGTCTTCTGCAACTGCTCTGCCCCAGAGTCTCCTTAAAGGTTCAAGACAATCTCCTAACTACTAATGCCATGTACGATTGTATACATGTGTGTATCGAAGTGGACCGTATCTGTGATGGGACCACCGATGCATAAATCGGGCGGAAGTATTAAAGAGCGCATGAAGTGTTTGTCATCGACCAGTCGCGTCCTTATGAAAACGAAGAAAGGAGGAGACAAGGCGTGAGACTGTGCTAGGAAGGAGGCATGACTGCTGGATCCGTACCATTCTACCTACTCTAAACCCCCGTTACTTCTCCACCGGATCGACGTGCAGAACGCCATTGACAACTTTTTTATCAACGTTTCTAATTTTGAGATCATGCAAAGGATCAATCATTCTGAAGCGCTAGGATGAGTAGCAACCTGATGGAGCTCCATGTAGGTCACGATCGTCTCTCCCAGGGTGTCAATAGGAGCTGCTTCAAGATAGCATACATAATACAACTAGAATAGTCTTAGAAATGATCTCTTATCACAGTCCTTGTCACAGAAACAACCCCGTCGTGATGAGCCCTGGTGCGGGTCTTCATAAATTCTGCTGCATGTACAACTATACCGAGATCTCATCTTCAATGTCCTCCAGCAGCAGAGAGATACCACGGTCCTCGTCAGCGGGGAATGCGTCAACGGCACGGATGGGAGAGTCATCAGTGCTGCTCGTGTTCGGCATCTTTTTGTAGTCCCCTTCATCTTCGGGTCCAACCATGGACAGGACAACCGGCAACAGGATAAGCCCGTAACCAATTCCAAGTGCGACGAGTCCAATGAAAGCTCGGAAGATAGTCCTGAAAATCTCGCTCGTGCTAAAGGCCAAGAGCATGACACCCAAAAAGGTAGAAATACCTCCAACCAGAATGGAGCTTCCCATGGTGTGCAGGGTTTCCTTAACACGCTCCTCTCGGGGTCCGTGGCACTCATAGTACCGCAACAGAATGTGCTAAACAGAGGTCAGAGATAGATGATAAGGGGCGGCTCAGAGATGCGGCCACGTGCAGCAAACCAAACTTTTTGTATCCACGCACCATGACAAAGTCGACCAAGAGACCAACACTCATCACCAACGTAATGTAGCTCACGGGATTCACGGCAACACCCATAAAGTACAACAGGCCCAGGAGGTCAATGTAGACCGTCACGATCGATGGGACGACAAAGAAGATTGCCGTCCAGTGCGGGATAAAGACCAGCCCAATAACACTGACAGCAACCACACTAGCAACAGTGGTAAACGTCAATTCCTCCGGCACAACAGCATAGAACTCCCACATATTCATGGTGTCTTCGAAGATGAAGCATCTCTGGTCCGGGCCAGCCAATCCCTGGTTCATGGGTTGTTCTCCTTCAACGTGTCGGATCAATTTGAGGCGATCCTGAAGAAACCTGGAGTCTCCCAAATCAATATCCATGTGCACATCAACGCGTGATGCGGTAATGTTGCCGAACTTGTCGCGTACAATATGGTGGTCGTAGAGACTATTGTACAAGGGATCCTCCAAGAAAGCGTCGAGTTGTTCATTAAACGTCAGAGTTGCATTGCTTCTGTTCAATACCAAATCTTTGGCCACAAACTTGTCAAAGTCGTTCATCCATATGTAGGGAGGATCCTTTTGGATGCAGTCGTTTTGGGCCAAGTCTAGCAAATAGTCCTTCATTTCTTGTCGAATCAAAGGGTCCGATTGGTCCACGAATCGAAAGTAGACGTCCGCACCGATGCCTACGCTGGGACTATGTGCATCCAGGAAATCAAAATAGTCTTTGACATATGAATCCGACGGGACAAGATCAATAAAATCCATCTCCTGTCGCAGTTGTGTAGTTCCGTAGATGCATGCTCCAAGTAAGGCTGCGAATGCCAACACGACAACCCCCTTGACAAAGGGACGCAGCAAGAACCGGGCATACATATCCATGAAGCGAGAGGACAAGCTGGGCTTTTCCGCGAGCTGTTGTTCTGGTTTGTCGCCATCGTCTTGCGCTTCTTGATTTTCAATTTGTTTTTGGTTTTCCGTGTATTTGTTTCCAGCGTCAATGCAGACGAGGCAATCGATTTTGTTTCGTTGGATGCGTCGTTCGTCAATGACAATGAGACTTATGAAGAATGTGATTTGGTATAGAAAGTCGATAATGATGGTAGGGAATGCATAGAGACATAGCCAATATACGGCGGTAATACTGCTGATGCATCCCAGGCCGAATGCCAAGGCCGACGTCAATGTGGTGAGAGCAATGGACAAACCAATGTCGTCGATGGTATCCGCCACTCGTTGGACAGGATCTTTTTTTGTGTCAGTGCGACTGTAGGATCCGGAAATGATGAATGCATCATCTAGACCAATTCCAAACATGACAAAGACAACGATTTGTGTGGCAGATGTCATGGGTACTCCGGCGAGGAAGAAAATTCCGTATGATGTAAAGACGGAGAATAGTACCCCCACAACGGCACCAAATCCTAGCAACGATTGTGACCTGACCCGATCCCATTGTGCAAATACAATGCAGCAGAAAATGCTCATGACAATGAAAGCAGCCGGCATGAGTGGTAGATCGTTGGCGACGGCTCTGTCGAATTCGTCGTCGAATGATGTGGATTGGAGTACTTCGAGCTGATACTTGTAGGGACTGTTTACGTCTCGTGCATCCCATTGTTCCTGCAATTGGAAGACAGCGTCAACGACTTGTTCTGACACGAATTGTTTGGATTCGTCTCGAAGGGGAAATAGCATATCAATGCGGTATCCCTCAGTGTGTGTCAATAGGCCTGCTTGGTCGTATTTGGCATTTCCGTAAATGCGATCAGGGTCGACGTCCCTTCCGTAAGGGAATTGATTTTCGGACATGCCAACAGTGGCCTCATCATTTGAATCCACGGATAGCTGGAAAATTTTTAGGGACTGCCACCAAAAGTCTACGACTCCATGGTGGAAGCATTCCATGGTAACATTGGTGACAGGGTCGGTGTATGGGCTGTCGCAAAGGTCAGTATATCCTGGCAATGCTTGTACCATGTCGCGAACTTCAAAGGCTCGAGTGACGGCTTGAAGTGCATCTTCTTGAAGATTGGCTCCATCTAGGTGAACGTAAATGACACTATAGTCTAGCTCCTGTGAAAAGCTGCTTTCATTTTCGATCCAGTTAGTTTTGATGTTGCTTGGTGGTGGATCCCTTAGGAGGCCACAAAACATCTCCATTGGTTTCCACTTGAAAGTTGGTGAAGAGTCCCGCAGCAACCAATCCAATACTGAGGATTGTAATGCCAATGACGTAAGTCCAAGGATGAGTGGCGGCAGAGTGAGTAATGATCTTGAGGAATCCACAAAGACGGACTCTCACAGAATCAATGGCTCGTGTCCAACGCTGGGAAAAGGTGAGATCAGATTCAGGCGATGAAGGGGCGTTGGGCGTGCTCTTGTGTGTGGTCTTGGGGGTGTCAAAGGTGAGGCTGTTGCTATTGCTATTGCTATATGTGTCATCTGCAGATTTACATGTAGCATTTTGAAAGTGGATAAGATGAGGGTGAGGGGCTACAATTTTAACAATGACACGACTGGAACTCGAGCCTGAACAATTAGTCATCTGGTCGCACACTGGCTCACCTCCTCTGCTGATGGTTGCGCTTGTTGTTACCACTGTGGAAGTCTTCGTCTTTCTATTGAGCTCGAAGGCGACTGCACCGCCATTGCGATTCTCGGTCTTCGTCATCTTGCATTCCTCTTACTCTTGATAGCTCCCAGTTGGTTTGTTGAGGAGTCAGTCAATAGAGGACTCGTTCCCCTACTAGACTACTAGTTGTTTGGGAGTGTTGTTGCTTTCAGCCTTCAATTTTAGCTAAGAATTGTGAAGCTCCCAGCAATTTCCCTGCTCCAATCCCCCCTTTGATTCAATTTTGTTAAAAACGACACAAGATTGTGCAGCGGTATGCATAATAGTACCACCGGTACACGACCGGCGGATGAGCTACCAGTAAGTTTACGTGCATCCTGGTAGCTGTGTCATGCGGTTTTCGGCCAAGCGGTTCGTGGAGCGTGATTAGAAGCGGTTAGGGTTACCAGTAAAACACTTAAATAAATACTGGTACGTGTACCAGGTGGCACTCGAGTATTAATAGTACATATATTATATGTTGTGCACTGTTTGTACCGGTTAGTGTTTACTTAAAAGTGCGTTCACCTGTTTATTAATACAAATCCGTACCTTGCGGTAAGCCACGTTTTACACCAAAAATATTCCTTGTAACCATATGAGGAACTGGTGAAACCCGCTTAAACAAAGGTGTAAAATGGCATAAACTAATACTTTTTACTATTGACTTTTATTGTACGAGTTTTTTAGTATAGCCCCGTGCCCTGCATGTTCGTGGAACCTCCTTCCACCAAATAAAACTAAATGAAAGAAAAAAGTCAAAGAAGTGAGTGGATTTGACGACCCCTAGCTAGCTAGTCTAGTAGGCTTTTCCTAGTGATTCGATTCGATTCAAATCCATCATACGCCTCGAGGATCGAGGACGAGGACAAACGAACGAACGAACCAACGAACCAACGAACCAATGGTCCAAGAGCACTGGCTGAGAATCGAATCAGATATCAGAGGATCCTTTTAAAATCGACTACACCACACCCCAATACAGCACATGTGCTCGGAATGCACGCAATGCACGCAATGCACGCAATGCACAGGACCAACAAGGGCTTGTGGCTGGAGTTTCAGAGTTGAGTTGCAGCCAGCCAGCTGATAGCTCAAGACATCTCACAGTGAGTTGCGTCAAGCCGAGCAGGTCAGCAGCAAGCCAAATTGAGACAAGCAAAGAAAGACAATCTGTCTTGTTTCCGGGAACTTCCTCCACCAAGAAAGCGATGGCAAATAAGGGAGGGTCGGCAACAATCAGTCTTGAGGATCTGCAAGATCCGTTTGTAGAAAACTAGAAAAGAAGTATGTTGACAGGATGACAACACTCCTCACCATACTCACAATTCTCACTTTCTGAGCCCGGCTGGACTAGATTGAGAAAACGGTCTTGAGGATCCGGTGGTGAAAGCAAAAAGGAGGTTCATTGATGGCCGCGGGGGCAGTGGATGCAGAAGGCCATGTCCAGGAAAGCGAACGATGCCTACCACTAGACTACTGCTAAGAACGGTAGTCTAGCTGCCGCAGCAACGATACGCTGTACCTTGGTGGCGCTAAACTATCTAGCAAGCAAGCAAAGGGCTTTCAGTCTACAAACGCACAAACTAGACTACTAGCTACATGTAGTATGGACCTCATTCATGGTGGTTGGAAGCAGGTGTTCTTGATGACTGTTCGGACTCCTGACAATTAAGGGGGGCACTTGCCATTAATGCATTCCTTTCTCCCAGTACGCCAAAGAGTTCTTTGGGGTTCTTTCACAACACGTACATGGTACATGGTACATGTACATGTTAGGATTGCGGATGAGCAAGGAGAAGGCTCACAAATTTTGACCGCTGCAACAAAACTAGCTTTTTAAAAAAAAAATTGAAGCACTCCGCCACAACCCCAAACTCCTTTTGTTGTTCTGAACGAAATTTCTCCAAGATGAACCCAAAACAAGAAACCAGGACTTCCTCCAAGAAACATCATGGCGAAAAGCCAATGAAGGACATGAGTTCCTCCAGCAGAAGGAGCACCAGCAGCCGCAACGAGAGGCGCTCCAAGAACCGCCATGAAAGGCTCAAGACCAACCAAATGCATCCCCAGGATCTGATTCTCCTTTTGGAAGTACAAGCCTACACTGATCCAGATGGGGCCATGGATTGGCTGAAGCAAATAAAGCAGGCATCCTCTATTCAAGTTCAGCAGCACCAAGAAGTCTCGCAGGGTTCTTCGCACCACCGTGCGAGGTCCTCCAAGGCTGCCTAACGAGTGGTCTTTTGTCGCTTGGATTCCATACTACGTACTATACATTACTTTCATAAGTAGACTGCAAGCAAGCCACCAACAGGGTGTGCTGAGCTGGTTCATAACAAACATAGATCAACAAACAAAAGAATTGCCATGGTGATTGATTGATCGTTCTAGACAAGACTACGTGCAGCACAAAGCAAGAGACTTCGGCTATGCCAACAACCGGAAGCTATGCCAACAACCGGGGACTGCTATTCGCACAATCAGCTCACTTCTGGTGCTCTTGCGTACCGTAGTTGGTGCAGTAGCTAGCTAGACATTCAGCGACCATGGGGTGAATGATTGAATGGCAAGCGAAAAGGTGAAGACAAAACCGCCTCTTACTTACTAGTACCAACCTGACCTGTGACTTTAGAAGTGGAATCAAAGGTAAGAAAGTATGTATGTAGAGAGAACCGTGGGTACGGTACTGTACTGTACTAGCTACCGGTAGCTAGTAGCTGGACTCCGGTTTCTACAGCTCGCTCTGGCTTCATCACTACTCTGGCTAGCTTGTACAAAGACGCTCACTGGGCCGTATCTTTGAGTCTGACGCAACGGCACCAGGTTCCACGCAGCGAGAACAATTTAAAAGTAGCAAAAGTTTCGCTGCTTTCATTTTTGGCCATCGCCGATTCGATTCGATTTGCTGTTCTGTTCTGGATTGAGAAAGCAGAGCAACCAGCTTCAGATCAATTGAATAGTGTATCGTACAAGTAGAAGGTAGTCTACTACGGTAGTAAGTGGTGATGGGACGAAAGCAAAAAGCTCCCAAGAAGCTGAGTCTCGATGAAACGGGATCTGTGTTTGAGTATCTTTGGAATCCAGGAGACAAAGTTTCCACGCCACGCAAAGAAGACAATGCGGATCAAGGCAGCACACTCTTGGGGCGACTATGGGCTGCAGAAGCGGATGCCTTGACTGATGACGCTGCTGCTCCACCACTACGGAAACGAACGAAATCGTCCAAGAAGAAGAAATCCGTGGACACAAGTACCACGAACACGAACACGACGAGCAATGACGAACCGTTGGAACTCCAAGTAGCGCCTGGAACGAACCCTCAAGGACAAGAAATTCCAGGATCTGCCTTGATTGTGCATTATGTACACACTAGTACTAATACAAGCAGTAGAAGACGGGAGGATTCGGCAGAGGTTCACTTGAAGCAATGGCAGCTCGGTCCTGCTGTTCAACTGAGGACCTTGACTGCAAGAAACTGTCAAGGACAGCAAATGGGAGAAATGCTGCCAGCGCAACTTCCAATTCGTGTCTTGACTTTCCAGGGGGCCTTGGAATTGCTGCACTTGTGCTGTGCCACCCAGCACACAACAAAAGTCCAACGGGGAGAAACTGCAATGGCATCCACCGGGGATTCTTGTCAGCACTTGGCTCACGCCGTGGAGAAACGCTTGTTTCTATTGATCATTCATCAGAAGAAGGAATCAACACCAACCTACACGGTATCCCTTTCACTCACGGACTTTGCCTTTGACACGTGTCATCCAGCCAAATTGTCCGTTCGGGAAACCTCTCATACCAAAGCATTCCAACTCGCGCACTGCCTCAATCAAGCTCTCATGGCTTTATTCCCAAAACAAACGGAACTATTACCATTGTCACAAAAGTCAAGAGGAGGAGACAACAACACTTCTTCTACCCCATTTATCAATGCCAAGGATGTGTACGCATTGGTCGATAATGTCAAACTCAAACACATCATGAACCGAAAAAAGCCACCTCCAGGCAGTCCTCAAGAAGCACCCTTGACAGTACCAGGATTAAAACCAAAATTACGACCTTACCAGGAAGCGGCAGTCCAGTGGATGATCCAACGAGAAAAAGGAGAAAGTGGATCCAATATTGCTGCTGCTGCTGCCAATCAAAACAATGGAAGGGAATGGGAATTGGCATGGGTCATTGTCACTACATCCTGTACAACATCAACATGTACAACAACAACAACCGTCAACAATCATACATACCCTATGGCACGGCTGTATAGTCTACCGGAATATATGCAACAATTTCCACTGCGACAACGACAGACGGAGGATCCTTCCAAACATTTTTTATTTTGCCCATTCACCGGATGGCTAGCCGACTCGGTCAAGGATGCCATGGACATGACACTACCGGTACGCAGTCTACCTATTCCGGACAAACCATATACGGAAGCAAAAGGGGGAATTTTGGCAGAGAGCATGGGACTGGGGAAAACGGTGGAAATTCTCGCAGTCATTTTGGCAAATCCACATCCCAGCTATCCACGAAATAATAATACTGTGGTAGTATCCTCTTCGTCCTCCTCTTTGGCGCCCTCGGAGGAATCGTCGTCGCAAGTCACGGACAGTCAAGAAACCGGGGATAGCACACAAAGCAAACATGGCAACAATCAGAATAATCCACCATTGGGGGAACCTCTTGGGACGCAAAAGCGGAGACGAATTATAGAGGACTCTACCAAACAATCTACCCACAGTTTGGACTCTGCAGACGATATTAGCGACGATGATGATACATGCAGTGATGACTCCTTGCCCATTGCACAGCTCAAGAACAAAAATCAGCGTGCTAAAGAGGCGACAAGCATTTTGTCACGTGAGCAAAGCCGTTGCTCGAACAATGATGACGACCCCGACACTGAAATCGTTGTTGAAACACCTACGAGCCTCGAGGAGCGATGGATATGTACGGGGAATGGGGAGATTGGATCCTGTATTTGTGGAAGATCCATATCGTTTGTCCCCGAAATGCCTCCCGAGGATTCGGTTGTCGTCTGCCAAGGGTGCCGTGAGCCCATGCATTGGACATGTGCCGCATTCGGCGAGGAACGGAAGCAGCTTTCTACCATGAACCGTGGAGTCTTGTTCCGTCACAAGCTCTCGAAAGATGGTTTTTGGTGCCGACTTTGTCCCGAAACATTTTGTCCCTGCTGTGTTGGATCAGCTGATCCGGGGACAAACGACAAGCTTCAAAGTAGGGCAACAGTGATTGTAGCCCCTGCTGCAATTCTGAGCCAGTGGGAGCGTGAGATCAAAATGCATGTTCGAGACCCCATCAAAGTCGTCGTCTACTCTGGTGTGAAGATTCTCATGAACGAACAACAACGACGGAAGAAAGGCGGACACGAACCCTTTCAATTCGTCCACCCTCGGCTACTGGCAGACAATGACTTGATTCTGACTTCCTTTGAAACTCTGCAACAGGATCTTGGGCATAGCGACAAAAATCCTTTTGCGTCAGGGAGGGCATCGCTGCGAAAGAGAAAACGTTACCGGGTTGTGCCGTCGCCGCTCTCAACTATTTCGTGGTGGCGCGTTTGCCTCGACGAAGCACAACGTGTGGAAACCCCAACTGCTGGGTCTGCACAGATGGCTCTCAAACTTGACACTGGACATCGATGGGCAGTCAGTGGAACTCCGGTTGGTCGAGGCAAACTAGAAGGTAGGGCGTTCCGCGATGTGTCCTCTCCAAGTGCAATTGTTTGTTCATCTTTTCACGTTTCGTTTCCTTTTGTTCAAACCACGGCAGATTTATTCGGGTTGCTGGTGTTTCTGAGGTCAACTCCCCCTTTCAATGACTGGAATTGGTTTCGGATTTGCTTCCCATCGTCTGGTGGGGCCGGCTGGAAAAGTAGGTTGAGGCTCCTTCTAGGGTCGGTCTTTTGGCGTTCCACAAAGTCGAACGAGCTTGTCGCAGAACAGATGGCGGTGCCTCCACAAATAGAAAAGAAAAATCTACTCAAGGTGAGCTGGGCGTGTATCGCGATGGAGCACGTCTATTCGTTCTTGTTTTTCTCACTATATTTGCTTCTTCACGCCAATGTAAGTTTTCAAGTATCGAGCGTCATTTCTATATGACCCAACTGGATAAGACTTTGCAAATCGCCGGAGATCTCCAAAGCAAAACAAAGCCAAAGGATGGTGCTCCCTTCACCAAGAGACCTCGAGGTACCAAAAGCTTGGAATTGCTTGCTACCGAGATGCACAATCTTCGTGCTGCTTGTTGCCATCCACAAGTAGGCTCAAGTGGATTGGCGCTGGGAAAACGAACCCGCACACACGGCAGCGTCAAGGTCTTGACAATGACGCAGGTCTTGGATCGGTTGATTTACGGTGCCAAGAACCAATGCGAGGAAGCACTCCGCGTATCCATTTTTCATTCCAATGCAATCGCGGGGATTGCAAGGCTCAAAGTGGACGCAAAGCGATACCACCACATTTCAATAGCAGAGCACGACGATTTTCTCTGGGCAGAGAGCTGTAAGCTGTACCAAGATGCGCTTGACCTTGTCGACAAAAACGCATCGCCGAGTCTCGCAACCGGAGAAGCCTTGCTTACGGCAGTCGTGGCTTTCGTTCCAACCAAAAGCAAAGTCACGGGGGGAAGGCCGTGCTGGACTGGCAGATCCAGCAACATGAAACTGCCCGTGCAAACCAAAGAAGTGGCGAAGTCAAACATCTCTTA